GTGTTACCTGGTGGTGATATCTGGTGGTGATACCTGGTGGTGATACCTGGTGGTGATACGTGGTGGTGATACCTGGTGGTGATACCTGGTGGTGATACCTGGTGGTGTTACCTGGTGGTGATACCTGGTGGTGATACCTGGTGGTGATACCTGGTGGTGTTACCTGGTGGTGATACCTGGTGGTGATACCTGGTGGTGATATCTGGTGGTGATACCTGGTGGTGATACCTGGTGGTATTACCTGGTGGTGATACCTGGTGGTGATACGTGGTGGTGATACGTGGTGGTGATACCTGGTGGTGTTACCTGATGGTGATACCTGGTGGTGTTACCTGGTGGTGATACCTGGTGGTGATACCTGGTGGTGATACCTGGTGGTGATACCTGGTGGTGTTACCTGGTGGTGATACCTGGTGGTGATACCTGGTGGTGTTACCTGGTGGTGATACCTGGTGGTGATACCTGGTGGTGTTACCTGGTGGTGTTACGTGGTGGTGATACCTGGTGGTGTTACCTGGTGGTGTTACCTGGTGGTGATACCTGGTGGTGATACCTGGTGGTGTTACCTGGTGGTGTTACCTGGTGGTGATACGTGGTGGTGATACCTGGTGGTGTTACCTGGTGGTGTGACCCGCTAGACCTTCCACAGGAACATAAACTTAACACTTTACATGTAAACCTTTTTCTTTCTATGCATTCATTTTATTAAAGGCAAAAGTCCCCCCCTGTTAGAGCGTCCTCTAACCTGTTTTCCTGTTCTGTACCCAGGGGGCAACAGCCCTGTATTACTGTACATTACCTCTCTGTTCTCTAACCATCCTTTACCCCTCTGTGTGTTGTCCCAGGGGTGAACAGCCTTGCCCAGTCACTGACTGTCAACCAGTCCATCCCTAGCACCCTCACCCACCTGGACCTCTCAGGGAACATACTGCGGGCAGACGACATCCCGGTAGGTGGCACCATGGTCACAATCTGTCTTGGTCACTTCATTAATGACAGTCATAATGGGTAGAGTTTGAGAGGAGAAAGGACTTTGTTCATTTGCACAGATATTGAAACAAGACTTAAATCAAGACGGGAGAGAACCAGCTGAAACCAGCTCGTCTAGTCTTTACACACCCAAGACCTATTGCATCATCTCCCCTCCTCAGAGCCAGGCAGACACAAAAACACAACCGCAGTCCAAAACCCACGCACGCACACACACACACACACACGCAACACACACACACGAACACAACACACACGAACACACAACACACACACGCACGCCACACGCAACACACCAACACACGAACAACACACACACACACACGCACGCACGCACAACACACACACACACACACACACAACACACAACATACGAACACACACACACCACGAAAACCACACCACAACACACACACACACACACCACACCACGCACCAAACACACACAACACACACACAACACACACACACCACCACACACACGCACGCACACCACGCACACACACACAACACACACACAAACACACCACCACACACCACACCACACACACACCACCACGCACACCACACCACACACACACACACACACACACAAACACCACCAACAACCACACAACACACACACACACACACACACACAACAACACACACACACACACACACACACACCACACACACACACACACACACACCACACACACACAAACACACACACACACACAACACACAACACACACACACACACAACACACAACACAACAACACGAAACACACACAGAACACACACACACACAACAAACACACACACACACAACACGAACACAACACACATCCACACGAACACACGAACACACACACACAAAAACACACACACACACACACACACACACACACACACACTACACACAAACACACACACACACACCACGAACACACACACACACACACACATATAATGACCTCAGTGCTCTCAGTATAGCTGTTGATCCCAATATTGACGGGTCACCCATAACAACCCCTGACAAGAGATACAATGGCCTTCAGAGAAATTATGGTCCGTCGGTAGAAAATCACTATACATTGGGCAGGAAGCATTATTACCTCTTACCTATAGACAGCATCAGACCATCATGTATCCATCCAGACTGTCTTCGTGTGCTAGTGCTAAAACTTTTTTCTCAATTTTTCTACCAGCATTTCTACCATTTCCTGGGCCAACCCAACAGCCTGATGACTCTGGACCTGTCCAACACAGACTGTTCTCTGGACCTGGTGAGTGAGACAATAGTCTGGTGTGCATAGCAATGTATTTTCCTTTAATAGCTAAAGGCTAACGGCTAATGCTAATATCTGTTCTAACCAATTCCTCTGTATTCCAGGTGTGTTCTGCTCTTCTGAGGGGCTCCGTTCAGAACCTCTCTGTCCTCAACATGTCCAAGAGTGTATTTGCACATAGGTGAGACCCACGACTTCCCATAATATAACAACCACCAGTAGGGTAGGGCAGAGTACCACAGACCCTCTGCCTCAGCCATGGGGGTCATCTTATCTTATCATAATACATCTATTTTATTCCTAGCATTATCCAATTTAGCTCATTCATTTGATCTCCCCATATTGCCCGGTTGGTCACAAAGTGTTAGTTATTGTACGGCTGCTACCAAAGACCCCATGTTGCCGCTTTACAGCCGTATTCAGATTGTAATGTATTTAAATATTAATATTTACCTAGTCTGTGGGTGGTTTTCATTTATCAATGTGTCCAAACCAGGAGGGTGGATGGCTGTTAATTAGAGAAGCTGACTGACAGTTTTTTTTAGGATTTCATTTTCTGCTTTATTATCAATGAAATTCCCAGAGGGGCAATTACTTTGGGGCATGTCTGCAACAGCAACAACAACAACAACATGACAACATACCATAACCACACCACAATGAGACACCACACCCAACCATTCACATCATCAAATCATCATAGAGCACAAGACATTACCGGGATAATCACCACATTAGATTAGATAGTCTTAGATTACATAGTCTTAAATGTGACAGGCAAAGGTCTCCACAAAAACCATAACACAAAATAATGCTAATTTAGGCTTCATTAAATAAGCCTCAACAAATGTTTGGTCTATGACTAGATTTTAGCTGCCACTTCTACTTTTTGGTGATGTCATTTTCTGGCCATAGAACACGAAGATGACATCATTTGAGGGCGTAAAGAATAATTGCTTACTGCAAGGAACACAAGCTACACACATGGCTTTATGGGTAATTTTTCTGGATCAGAAATGAAACAAATGATACTGACATGATGTAAGTGTTGGTCCCATTTTTCATGAGCTGAAATAAAAGATCCCATACGCACAAAAAGCTTATTTCTCTCAAATGTTTTGCACAAATTTGTTTACATCACTGTTAGTGAGCATGTCTCCTTTGCCAAGATAATCCATCCACCTGAGAGGTGTGACATATCAAGAAGCTGATTAAACAGCATGATCATTATACACAGGTGCACCTTGTGCTGGGGACAATAAAATGCCACTCTAAAATGTGCAGTTTTGTCACACAACACAATGACACAGATGTCTCAAGTTTTGAGGGAGCGTGCAATTGGCATGCTGACTGCAGGAATGTCCAACAAATCTGTTGCCAAAGAATTGAATGTTCATTTATCTACCAAAAGCCCCCTCCAAAGTCGTTTTAGAGACTTTGGCAGTACATCCAACCGGCCTCACAACCGCAGACCACGTGTAACCGCGCCAGCCCAGGACCTACACATCCAGCTTCTTCACCTGTGGGATGGTCTGAGGCTGGAGAGAGGGGGTGCTCAGGAGTATTTCTGTCTGTAATAAAGCCGTTTTGTTGGGAAAAACTCATTCTGATTGGCTGTGCTTGGCAGGGGGGGGTCTGGGCAGGGGTGAAGTAGTTGATGTTGGTGTGATGTTGTCGTTTGTATGTGTATGTTTTGTATTGTTTAAAAAAAAAGTACGAAAAATCTAACCCCCCAAAATAGTGAGGCACATTGTAAGTATATTATTATAATATATTTCTGTCCCATAGTTTCTAGAAATTATGTATTATCTTAAACCAAAAGATTATCTCCTGATAATGTCCACTGCAACTGACACATTTCACGCACATGCAGGCACGCTCGCACACACACACACACACACGCTCGCACACACACACACGCTCGCACACACACACACACACACACACACATCTTACTGGGATGACATCACTGTCAGAGACACCTTTGATTGGCAGATATGTATATCAGTGTTGTTGTCATCACCAGCCTCTCCAATCCCAAGGTATGGGAACAGCCTCTCAGTAAATGTGTCTTTTATAAATGTAGATGAGTGTCATGTCTTTGGGGTCGTAGAAGGACACCTCCCCCCTGTCGTAGTCCAGCTGCACTCTGATCCTCTGGGGTCTCCTCTTCAAAGTGATGACGCCACCTCCTCCTCCTTTATATTTACCACTCTGCTGCTCTATACACCAGATCCCATGCTGTGGTGATGCATCCCGTTCCCCCTTCCTGTCAAGGGACTCTTTAGCCACGCCCAGAAGCCAGTGAGTGTGGTCCCCCACCTCCACCTCCCAGCGGTGTTTCCCTGAGCTAAACCCCTCAGAGCCCAGAACATCTATATACTTCATTAATCGCTCTGGGTTGTCAGGGAGCTGCTGTTTTGTGCCTGTGTATCTCACACTGGTCAGATCATCAGTCAGAGAGAGCCAGTGGGAAGCTGTGTTGGGGTCCAGAATCACAGGAGTGTATTTGAGGATCCCCTGCATCTTCTCCCAGACTCTGAACTGCAGGTTGCCCAGGTGTTTGGCCACGTCTATCAGAGCTCCTGAGACCAGCTGTGGATCCTGCAGTGTGCACTTGGCTCTTTCCTTTGTGGTCTTGGAAGTTCTGCAGGAATGAGATGTCTTCAGCTTTCAGCTCCTTCTCTATGGCTCTGATTGTGTCTGAAAGTGACGATTTATCTCTGCTCATCTCTTCAATCTTCTTTCTTCATCATCTGACTCTTCTGCTCCTCTTCCTCCCTCAGTGCATCTATCCTGGCCTCCTCTTCCTCTTGTAGAAACTGGCGAAGCTTCTCAAACTTTTTCCTAATCTGCTTTTCTGTGTGCAAGGCCTGGCTAGTAATGTGCTCTGCTGTTTGATCACAGGTTAGTTGAACTTTATTGAAGACCTTCTTCTTCTCCTTTAAGGGCTTCAGGGCAGTCTGGAGTTCCTCCTTATAATCCTGTACAGCCTCATCTACAGGGACACAGTGTTAAGCCCTGGCTCTGGGAACTCTTAAAAGTTGAGCCAGGGTGTGTAGTGTCTATGTTGTATTTTCTATGTTTCGTTCTAGTTCGTGTTTTCTATGTTGGCCAGGGTGGTTCCCAATCAGAGGCAGCTGATTCTCGTTGTCTCTGATTGGGAACCATACTTAGGCAGCCGGTTGGCACTAGTTTATTGTGGGATCTTGTTCCGTTAAGGTTTGTGTTGTATGACCTAGGACTTCACGTATCGTTTTGTTGTTTTTGTTCGGGTGTGTGTACTTAATAAAATAATGTACGCTTATCACGCAGCGCCTTGGTCCGCTTCTTACAACGATCGTGACACACAGACATGACATCTATGTTTCTTTGAGGACTGACACACCACACAGACGGGCTGTTTATCCTCCAGACAGAAGAGTTTGAATTTCTCACCGTGCAGACTGCAGAGCACCTCAGACCCTGCAGAAGCTTTCTGACTCCCCTCCTGTACCTCAGACCCAAATGAAGCTCTCTGACTCCCCTCCTGTACCTCAGACCCAGCTGAAGCTCTCTGACTCCCCTCCTGTACCTCAGACCCAAATGAAGCTCTCTGACTCCTCTCCTGTACCTCAGACCCAGCTGAAGCTCTCTGACTCCTCTCCTGTACCTCAGACCCTGCAGAAGCTCTCTGACTCCCCTCCTGTACCTCAGACCCAGCTGAAGCTCTCTGACTCCTCTCCTGTATGAAGGCCTCACACAGGCTCTTTAGAGCCAGGTTACAGGGAGGTTCAATCATAGGAAATATTCTACAAACTGGACATTCCCGTGGTTCCTTCTGTTGCCAGCATAATTCCAGACAGGATTTACAGAAGCTGTGGCTACACGACAGGAGGACAGGATCTCCTCCCTCCATCCTTCTCCTCCCTCCATCCTTCTCCCTCCATCCTTCTCCCTCCATCCTTCTCCTCTCTCCATCCTTCTCCCTCCATCATTCTCCTCTCTCCATCCTTCTCCCTCCATCCTTCTCCTCTCTCCATCCTTCTCCCTCCATCCTTCTCCTCTCTCCATCCTTCTCCCTCCATCCTTCTCCTCTCTCCATCCTTTTCCTCCCTCCATCCTTCTCCTCTCTCCATCCTTCTCCCTCCATCCTTCTCCTCTCTCCATCCTTTTCCTCCCTTCATCCTTCTCATCCCTCCATCCTTCTCCTCTCTCCATCCTTCTCCTCCCTCCATCCTTCTCCTCCCTCCATCCTTCTCATCCCTCCATCCTTCTCCTCCCTCCATCCTTCTCCTCCCTCCATCCTTCTCCTCCCTCCATCCTTCACCAACAACCTGCCAATTCTGTTTCTGCCTCGGTTGCAGTTTTCACCTCTCTCTCGCTCTCTCTCTCTCATGCATTCGTTAGCTGATCCTGGAAAAGAGCTCTTTTCACGAAACTCCAAATTCTCTTCACAGCACCTTAACTGAAAAGTACACCGCTCTGCTCTCACAGACAGGGAAGAGGTTCAACGTTTTGCATGGTTGTTTAGCCAGTCAGTTCCTTAAATTAACCTGAATATACGTCCAAAGTTGAGGAAACGGTAAACTTTGAAAATTGCTAACAGGACTATTCTGACCAATCTCCAAATACAGGACCGGAAGAGTCAAGCCCTTGGGCTACATGATGATGATGCCCATCCGTTAGCTGACATTTGACCCCTGGTGCATCACTCTTTAGGAGATCACTGAGGCCAGGCAGCACAGTAAAACTCTTGACTCTGCACTGCTGAATGTAATGTCAGCCTGGGCCGTCCTTATTGATGTCAGTGTATTGATATCCGTGTCAGGTTCAATGGGTTGGAAGGCTTCTCTCTAGAGAAATAGAGGCATGGTAACCAGAAAATGATTACTGTGAAACTGAAACCTGTCCTCAGTGAACTGAGCAGACCATATCGGACATCACAAATGATGTGCACTGCATGTTAGAACCATTATTCAGTGGTCTATTCTCACAAACGCGAGGTATGAAAACAACTCTTATCTGTCAAACACCTGAAGATTGATTTGTAGACATGGTACCCTCTTTGCATATCAGTCAGATGACCTACAGTAGTAGTGGTTTAATGGTTCAAGGATAGAGACGTTTGTTTGTTTAAAACTTGAAGACTAAACTACCCTCACATCATTACCCCATCACAGTCTCTCCTCACATCATTACACCATCACAGTCTCTCCTCACATCATTACCCCATCACAGTCTCTCCTCACATCATTACACCATCACAGTCTCTCCTCACATCATTACACCATCACAGTCTCTCCTCACATCATTACCCCATCACAGTGTCTCTCCTCACATCATTACACCATCACAGTCTCTCCTCACATCATTACCCCATCACAGTGTCTCTCCTCACATCATTACCCATCACAGTGTCTCTCCTCACATCATTACCCATCACAGTCTCTCCTCACATCATTACCCCATCACAGTGTCTCTCCTCACTTCATTACACCATCACAGTCTCTCCTCACTTCATTACCCCATCACAGTCTCTCTCCTCACATCATTACCCCATCACAGTCTCTCTCCTCACATCATTATCCCATCACAGTCTCTCTCCTCACATCATTACCCCATCACAGTCTCTCCTCACATCATTACACCATCACAGTCTCTCCTCACATCATTACCCCATCACAGTGTCTCTCCTCACATCATTACCCATCACAGTCTCTCCTCACATCATTACCCATCACAGTGTCTCTCCTTCATCCCATACAGTCCTCTCCTCACATCATACCCATCACAGTCTCTCTCCTCACATCATTACCCCATCACAGTCTCTCTCCTCACATCATTATCCCATCACAGTCTCTCTCCTCACATCATTACCCCATCACAGTCTCTCTCCTCACATCATTATCCCATCACAGTCTCTCTCCTCACATCATTACCCCATCACAGTCTCTCTGGGGACAGAGAGAGAAGCTACTGAAGACGCTATCAGCTAGCCTATAAGGGAGGGTGTGGTAGCGTGGGACAAAGAGAGAAGCTACTGAAGATGCTATCAGCTAGCCTATAAGGGAGGGTGTGGCAGCATAGAACAAGCAGACAGCAAGCTGCTATGTTTTATAAAAAGGGATGCTACTGGCTTTCTAAACACCATAATAATGAAGGCTGCAGCCATATCAGGGCTACTGGCTTTCTAAACACCATAATAATGAAGGCTGCAGCCTTATCAGGGCTACTGGCTTTCTAAACACCATAATAATGAAGGCTGCAGCCATATCAGGGCTACTGGCTTTCTAAACACCATAAAAATGAAGGGGCAGCCTTTCGGGGGCCTATGGTTTTCAAAACCCCCAAAACATAATAAAGGCTGCACCCATACCCGGGGCATGGCTTTAAAAACCCCCTAATAATAAAGGGGGCTGCACCCTTATGGGGGCTAGGCTTTTAAACACCAACATAATAAAGGCTGACCCCTTTATCGGGGGCTAGGGCTTTTTAAACACCATAAAAATTTGAAGGCTGCACCCATATCGGGGGCTACTGGCTTCAAAACCCCAATAATAAAAAAGGGTCCCAGCCTTATCGGGCTATTTTTCTTTTCTAAACACCATAAAATTTAAAGGGCTGCACCCCAATCGGGGGCCCACTGGCTTTTAAAAACACCTAAAAATTTAAAGGGGCACCCCTTTATCAGGGCTACGGGCTTTTTAAACACCTTTAATAATAAAGGCTGCACCCTTTATGGGGGTTTACGGGTTTTTAAAAAAACCCCCAACAAAATAAAGGTGCAGCCTTATCGGGGGTACTGGTTTTTCAAAAACACCAACTAATAAAGGGCCCGGCACCCTTATCGGGCACGGGCCCTTTTAAACCCCATAATAATAAAGGGGCTGCGGGCCTTATCGGGGTTAGGGGTTTTTCAGCCAACATTTTTCCAGTGTGAAATTTTCACTGAACTTACTTTTACCCTCATTCAAAAAAAATCTGTTTTGGCGAGGGTCACATTCTTTTTTAAACTGGGGGAGAGCGGTTAAATTGTGGTTCAAAAGGGGAAATATACCAGGGGCTCTCGGGGTATCATCTCTTGAGGGGGGTTTTAAAATGCCCTTGGGGTTGGTTTGTCTCCGGGAAAAGGGGAAAAGATGTGCCCCCATCTTCAAGAAAATTCTTCGGCAGGACCAGGGCCCCCTCAGCTGATCAAAATTTCGGGAAACCCAAAAAAATTTTAAATAAAGAAGTTTGAAGGAGAAAAAAAAAAAGAAATATGTATATAAATAAATATGTAAAATTTTATTTTTTAAAATGTATATAAAAAAATTTATGGGTATGTAAAAAAAAATGTTATATATAAAATTTGAAATAAAAATTATGTTTTAATAAAAATAGGGTTATATTTTAAAATTGAAATATAAATAGTTTTATAAATTTTGTTTTTATTAAAATGTATAAAAATATGTATAATAAAATAGTAGGGGGAATAAATATGAATATATAAAAATTTTATATAAATTTTTTAGGGTATAAATAGGGGAAAAAAATATATATAAAAAATTTGTATAAAAAGTAATAATAAATATGTATATAAAGGGAAATATATTAAATATGTTTTATTAAAAAAGGGATATAAAAATATGTATTATAAAAATTTTGTATATATATATGTATAAATATAAATATGATTAAATAGATTATATAAAGTATATATTAAAATGTAAAATATTAAAAAATTTATATAAATATGTAAAAATTGTTAAAAATAATATAAATATGAAATATATAAAAATATGTTTAAATATGTTTTTAAAAAATTGTAAATAAATAGGATATAGTAAATATGTTATAGAAAAATTTATATAAAAATATGTATTAAATAGGGTATTTTTAAATATGTTTTTATAAATAGGGGTATATATAAAAAATTTTAAGGAAAAAATATGTATATATTAATTGTTTAAAAATTTTATGTATTTTAAAATATGAAATAAATAAAATTTAGTAAAAGTTAAATATGTATATAAATAAATTTGTATTATAAAAAAATTTATAAAAAATTTTTAGATAATAACTAGGGATTTTTTAAAAATATTTTATATAAAAAAAGGGTTTTTTATATATGTATATATATAAAAAAGTATAAAAAATTTTTTGTAAAATTTTAAAATTTTAGGATTATATAAATTGTTAAAAATTTATGTAAAAATAAAAAATTGTTATATATAAAATTGAAATATATATAAAAGGGATAAAATAGAAATTTATATAAATATGTATTATATAAATATGTATATATATAAATATGTATATATAAAAATAGGTATATATAAAATTATTGTTAAAATAAAAATATGTAAAATATAATTTATGAAATTTTAAAAAAATATTTTATATATAAATTTTTATATATTTTAATTATTATATATTTTAAATATGTATATATTTGTATATTTTTAAAAAATATGCAAAAATTTTGGTATTATAAAATAGTATTTTTTAAAGGGTAAAAATAAAATATGTTTTTATTAATATATATAAAGGGTTATTTTATAAAAAATTTATAAATTTTAAATTTTATAAAATTAAATATGTATTTTTTTAAATATGTATATTTTAAAATATGAAAATATAAATAGGGATATATTAAATTTGTATAAAAATAGGTATTTTAATAAAAAATGTTTTAAAATTGTTATATATAAATGGTTATATTTAATTGTATTATAAAAATATGTTATAAAAATAGTATATAAAAATTTAAATATGTATATAAATATGTATATATATAATTAGTATATAATAAAAAAA